TTTCACGAGATTGCGCCATTGCACTCCAGCCTGGCGGACAGAGCGAGACTCTGCTTCAAAAACAAAACAAAACAATAAAAAAACAAAAAACAAAAAAAAACCCTGCCTATTTAAATTCAAGACAATTGTTAGGGGTCGGGGTCAGGGGCAGGGCTAGAAAGATGAGGCTTATCCAAGCCAAATGTCCTGGCCCCTGGAGAACCAGGATGGGAGCGCAGCCAAGACAGCTCCAGAATCTAGGATGAGGTTATTTGCTGCTTTCCTTCCCCCAACCCTGGACAGGAAGCAGTCAGGAGCCCCTGCTCCATTCTTCAAGGAAGCCCTGCCCTCTGGGCTAATCCCCAGAACACTGAGGCTCCACTTTGTGCCTGGCTCTGATCCCCCAGGCCTCTCAAGAGAGTTCTGGATACGGAGAGCTTTCAGGACAGGAAGGCCAGGGAGGGATCAAATCCAAGGTTAGGCGGTCAGGCTGAACAGTGTGGGATCTGGCCTCTAGGCCAAAGGAGCCACAGAAGACTTTGAGGGCAAGACAGAGGCAGGGCAGATCCAACAGGCAGCTGAGAACCTGTCTTTTTGGCCTGCACATCCAGGAGATGCCTAGTTCCCGGGCTTCTAGAGGTGCCCCCTAGGGTGAAAATACTTCCATTTCTTGGCAGCAGGTGCCTTTAGGGTGCTGGTGGCCTCCTCTGCCTAGACCTCGGTTTCTTCTATGCGAAATAGAAATCTGAAACGTCTTCCCAGGCCTAAAGGGCTAATAAGAACCGAGGACAAATGTGGTGAGGTGAGGTTTTGGAAGATAGAAGCAACGCTGGCTGGTTCCGGGGCCACCGCCCCGTGACCCTAGAGAGGGCGTATCAGCGCTAGCACCAGGCGCCGGGTCCAGCCCCCTCTCCACATCGTATCCCCTTCTCAGTCCCCCCTCGTAGGGTGCGATGACGCCGGGCCGGCCGACTCCTCGGAGGCAGAGATTTCGGGCCTGGGGGTTGCCGGCCGGTCCCCCCCGGGTCCG